TCTGTCTCCCTGCTTTTTGCCCTATATAATAGGGTTTTGTTAGTTGATTTTTTTCTTTACAGAATGAAGAATTATAATAAACATTGTTCAGAAGACTGGTCTTATTTATTCATTGGAATTAGAAGAAAATATATTTAAAAAAAGAAATCTGTGTTTGCCTTTACTCTTAAAGATGAGGGTAGCAAGGAGCAGTTGTGGCAGGCTCTAACTCAGCACACATGTTGACAGTCCTTTACAATGTGCACAGTTTATTAAATTTAAACATGTTATCTCTTTCCATTTCAAAGTGCTTCTGAGCTAATATCTTTTCTTTCCCCTCACTGTGGAGTATCTTCACTATCAAATCATGTATGCTTTCTCTGTCACTTGTTAAAGTAATTCCTTAGACTCATGTTCAGCCTCCCCCTTTGTCATTGTTCCTTATGTTAGGTTTTTTTATTTTATTTTTTTAGTTCTGTCTGTCCAGAGATGTTAAATACTTGTTATTTAGTTATTTTTCATATCTTTATGTAAAATTCGAAATCCTTATCAATAATTTCTAAAATTCCTAGAAAATGGTTGATAGTGATACAAATATGCAACACCCTGAAGGTTCAATCCTAGCCTTTGCTTCTCAAAAACAGCCACAGTAGATATTAAAATGCACAGCTGAAAAAGGATTAACGCTGTAGCAAAACATTAATTGTCACTGTACCAACACCTAAATGTATGCATACATTTGTACTCTGACAGTATCTGTGATTCCTTTGGTCTGTACAGACACAGACTCACACAAGTTTGTAGGGATCTCATGTTGAGAGCTGCAGCTGAAATGCATTCACTTCAGGATTAGTGCAGACATCTCTCCATGATTGTTTTGAACTTTATTTGTGCGTGGAAGTTGTCCAAAAAAGGAACAAAAAAATCACAGCCAGCTCACCCAGTGCTGCCAAATCTGCTGTAGTGAGGACCCCTAAAAATGGGCTGTCCCCCAGGGAGGGGACAGATGCAATGCAAAAGCATGGCTCCAACTTGTCCTCCAATTTTGCCTCACGTTAACAGAGAGCAATGTGTCCATAACTATTTGAGTTCTAGGCAATGTGGTCAGACTCCATATTTGGTATTCCTCTATTTGCAGAAAGGAGCAAACCCCCTGGGACAGGTGCCCATTATTCCCCAATGCCATTAGCAAGCTGTCCTGGCAGGGCAGGGACAAGTGTGCCATGGCTCTGCTTTAGGAAATCCAACCTGTTTTATATCAGCTCTCCTGGTTTTTTTGGGGAATCATGTGATTTAGGTAGAGCTAGAGCAAGCATAGCAGGCCCTTCTATCAAGTCCCAGAAAAATCACTTGCAAGCAGTTCATAGAAACTGTTCACTGTGCAATTTCAAATAATAAACACACAAAACAAAGTGTCAGCAGGGAGCTGCTCATGCAGAATTTGGGAACAGGGATAATTGTTCAGTGTGATTGAATAAATTGTTTACTGCACACAGTTTAGATAACTTTAATAGCAAACAATTTTACTCTGTCCTTATACCTCAGGATCATGTACCCTTTAGATAAACATCTATGTCAGCCATCTGTTAAACTTTGAATATTTTGATTATTGTAGAAAAAAGTTGGCTCCTGGCTCTAAGCTGGCCACAATCAGTTACTATGCTATTAGTCAGATACCTGGAAGCCCTGGGATGTGGTGTTTTATATCTTGGATTCAAACAAGAATTGTGTTAACAGGAGACACCCTTCCTGCAGGTCTTACATTGGAAGAATTGCCTGACTATACATCAGAAAGTGTCTGTCAGAGGGCCTGAGGTAAACATGCACTGGAATGCACATACTCCTGTTAAATAAACCTCCAGAATACTAAGGAGCTGAGAGAGTATTTGTCATTCACAATCTCTTCCATACAAACTTCCTTCCCATAAAACATAATTCTTGAGGATGCTTTCAGGAAAAACACATAAATAAATTTTCTGTGGAAAATGTGTGTGATTTTTCAGTTATACAGCACAAAATTTCAGCAGGTGGGATGGGATTTGCTGGTGTATTTCATCCCACTCCAGACAGTTGTCAAATACACCCAGGATGAACTGCTTTCTAAAGGAGCCCACTTACAGACCCTATGGAGGGAATTTAAAAGATTAGTTTAGAGTAGATGCTGAGTACGCTTCCTGAAACTATAAATGGAAACATTTCATAGATCTTGCCATTGTCTGAAAATAGCCCTGTCAGCCTGGCACATCTGGGATCCTGAATACAAAGCATTTGTTCTCTTTAGTGAAAACTTTGCCTAAAAAAGGCTGTGACATTGGGCTCTCGTTTGGAAGAGGCACAGTGCTTGCAGTTTCACGAAAAGTTTCTTCCTCATCTGCTTAATAAAGTCTTCTTTTAAGTTTATCTAAGCTAAACTGAGAGACAGGAGGGGAAGGTTCAGGTCTCAGCTGTGCCTCTGAACTCCTGCCTGTCCTCTTCTGAGGTCCAGCACCTTCCTGCATTATCAGCAGGATGATATTTTCCCTGGAATACAGAGGAAAAGGCAGGCACCAAGAGATTAAAGTACACTGTTGAGGATCACAAAGCTGGCTGCTGGAGATAAGGAACAAGACTGAGCAATTTGCAACACTCATGTGACATTTTCTACTGTGGACTGTTATTGTGAAAAATAACTGTATGATTGGAGAAAGTACTTAAGCTATCAAGAATCTAATAGCAGAAGAAGGGGAAGAAGTTTGCATCAATGAACAGCTGTAACACCATTAGACCTGTCTCTGCTAACAAAATGCATCAATTCAACACAAATCTCCAAAAATTGGTCTGTCTGTCCAAAGCCAATTCCTCATTCTGTGTAAATGCAAACAGTTTTTAGTTCTTGCCTCTGCCAGATTAATTTGTATTTGCAGACTTCAAAGAACCTGCAGCTTGTTGACAAAGATAGGTTAAAGCAGTCTTTATAGTGATTTAGCAGTAGGACATTAATTAAACCAGCCCACTCTCCTACAGTACGAGACCTTATTTTAAGGGGATAAATTCTACTTAGTACTTTTTACTTAGAGAATGTTTGTTATCTCTATAAGTATAGGTCATGTTACCTAACATTATCTGCAAAACTAAAGGCCAATAATCTATTATATAAAATTAATGCCAGTGTTTCCTCTGTTAGGGAAAGTTTTTCCTCTATGCACAGGTGCACACCACAGCCCAAGACCAGAGTCTGTCAGAGCCATGTCTGTGTGCTCCACCTGCTTATGATCCTCCTGGATAGAGAGGATATAGGGGCATCTCTTTGCTCCTCTCCCATTTCCCTCTTCCTGCTGACAGCTGTACTGGCAAATGCCACCAGCTCCATGTAGTCTTGGTTTTTACTGCCCTACTGCAGAGGGGAAATGGCATTTAATCATGAATATACATGAAGATCCCAAGAGACTAGCTGCTATCAGGACAAAGCTCTACACTGTCACATGGCTGCAAATATTATTAGTTTGTTGCCAAGCTTTTCTAACAAACTTTTTTTTCCTTTTTTTCGCATTGGGCTAAGCACATGCTGTTTACCACCAAGGCTTCCCCCAAAATCAGAGAAGACCTAGAGGGAAATGAGAGAGGTACAAAGACTTTATAGAAGACACAACCAGTAGAACAACACATGTGCTTCTCCAACACATAATATTCAGTAACATGCTAGAAAAGGCTTACACATCAGTTTGGATTGGGGTAGGAACTCTCTGACAGGCTGCTTTGTGCAGCTTTTGGAAGCTACTTGGCTTTGCTCCAGCAAGCGTAGCTGAATAGTAGCAATCTCAAGCACATGCTAGATGCTATCACTCATGGCCATTCCTGTAGCCATGCTATCCTGACTCGTTCTTCTACCCTTTTTCCAGCTCACTCACTCTGCACCACTCAGGAAAGAGAAGGTACATCCAGAAAAATGGCTGGCCAGTCAGAGGAAACATAGTGCCAAATCAAGTCCCTCATAATTATTTCATAATATATTTTTGAAAATCAGATCTTACACAAGGCAGCAGGATTCATAAAACCCCTGTTCACATGGCACACATTCCTGAAGAGATCCTGATCTCTTGTCCAAGGTGCAAAACTGAGAATAGCTGTGACAAAGGCAGGGTCTCCTCGGACACATGTATTTGTACATGTATAAACTGTTACTTCAAAAACAAGTTGGGATCCTGTATGCTTTCCAAAAATATTTAAGAATAATGCTGACCATATGCTCTTGGCTGCTGAAAACCCCACTCTGTAACTAGCTCATCAGAATGTATTGAAAGGTTTTTCTGCCTTGGCAGTTCTCATTTACCAGGTTTTGAGATGGGCTGGAATGCCCTTCATCACTGAATGCTACTCCTCAGCCTCCTGGGGATGAAGGCACGCTCGGTGACTGCTTCGCCCGTCCTGTCAGACTGGTACAGGACATGGGCAGAGCCGATGCCAACCCGCGGGGACAGACACGTCCCGCTTTGGAAGCGCGCCGTTTGTGGGAGCTGTCAAACACGAGCGAACTCGGTGACATTCCTTACACATCGCGCTCCTGACCAAGCAACCGCAGCAGGTGCCGAGTTGAGAAGAAAACAGTTTTATAAAGGCTGTTGAGGCTCCTTGACACACCATGTAGGGGCAACACTGCTTGCCCCAGGGTTAGGGGAGAATTCAGCTCTTCTAATTTTAACCACACAACAGCTGGGCAGGCTGCCAGGCCTCGGGGCCGTGCCTGCGCGGGGCTCTGGCTGCACCTCAGCGCGGTGGCTCCGCACCTGCTTCAGGCGCCTCGGTTGACACTGCCCGGCGGCCACAGAGCCCGGGCCGGGCGGGGGTACCCGGACCGATGCTCTGAGTGTCGCGGGGGCCGGGGCGATGCTCTGAGGGTTGTGGGGGCCGCGGCCGCTCCCGCCCCTCCCGGCGCGCCCTCAGCCCCGGGCCCGGCGGAGGCGCCTGCGCGCTGCGGCCGCTCGGTGCCGGTCCCGCTGGCGCCGCCCGCAGCTCCCGCGGCTCCTCTGCCTATTTTAGTCACAGCCGCGGCTCCGTGCCCGCCGCGGGACCGCCAGCGGTGACGAGCGGCAGCCCCGTGCTGTGGCCGTCCTGTCCTGGCGGCCCGGAAAGTTTTCCGCGGGGCAGGTGAGGGGCGCTCCTGCCGTGCGCCGGCGGCACCGCGGGTGGGGGGCGCGGCGGGGGCCGGCACCGGCGGGTGTACCGGGCCGGGGGTGCCGCTCCACCGGCGGCGGCAGGAGGGGTGGGCGCCAGGCTCCGCTGTGAAGCCGCCCGGCCAGCGGGGAGAACGCGCGGTCCCGTCCCTGGTCCCTCGTTCCCTTCGGTCGCTCTCCTGTGCCCTGCCCGCGGGGAGGAGGGACGGGTTGCAGCTTTCGAAGTGGCTCTTTTGGGGGGAAAGGGACCAGTTGCTCGACTCTTTTCAGTTTTTAAAAATTATTTTCGCGATTGTTTGGTACGAAGGGTGGGTTTGGCGTTCGCGCGTCGTGGGCTGAAGTGAAGCTGCGGAGCGCAGAGCGGGGCTGGGCGCGGGCAGCTGCGGGCGCGCTCCCCCCCGGGGGCTCGGGCGCGCTCCCCCCCGGGGGCTCGGGCGCGCTCCCCCCCGGGGGCTCGGGCGCGCTCCCCCCCGGGGGCTCGGGCGCGCTCCCCCCCGGGGGCTCGGGCGCGCTCCCCCCCGGGGGCTCGGGGGCCCGGCGCGTCCGTGAGCGCTGCAGGCGGAGGGCAGAGCGAGCCCCAGGCGCTCTCATAGGCTCGGGTCGCTCCGCTTGGGGCTGCGGGGCTGCGCTGCCGCGGGGGAAGGTTTTCTCACCGTGTGATACTTTGTTGACTATGAAGAATGAACGTGTTGTTAAATTTTCTCTTGATTAAAGTGACCGAAGAGAATAACAAATTTCTGTAGTTGCTGACGCATTTAATTGAATGTGACTTGCTGCAAGGAGCAAATTGAACGTGCTTTCTCATACCACTTTCCTATTCGTTCTTACTGCATTGTAATAGAGGAAATTGGTAAATTAAACTGTAATTAACTCAGCTATGCTACCTCTAGTAGTTTGTCTTCATAGAAGAATTAGTGCCTAAAGTACCTCTGCAGCTTCTGTGCTGTAAGTCCATAGAAAAGTAGTTTAAAGTTCTGCAGGTATAATTAAATTAATTTTTTAAAATTGCATTGACTGTAAAGTTATAGAAACGTACTCGAAGTTATAGAAAACATACTCAAGTTTTAGAAACATACTCAAGTATGTAGAAACATACTGAAAGATTTAAGAAGCTCAGTTGAATAATGTTGACCAGTAAAGCTGTGGGATATGAATAATCTCAATAAAGTGGTAATGACACGAGTGGGACACTCAGCACTGTCCCACTATCAGCTTGGCTGACTGGTTCTCATAGTAGAACCAAATGTTTTATGATTTTCTGCAGTGTCTGTCTTCTGTGAATGTTGTTTAGGTATCCATAAAATTCATGCTTTTTTCAAAGCCATATTGGTGTCCCCATATTTGCAGACTAAATCTTTTGGGAATGCTTTTCAGAAGTTTGGTCTCTTGTATAAAGCTGTTGTTGAGTATAGCAAAATCCTAGAGTAAGCTCACCTCATTTATTTTCTGAGAATTTGTATTTTCTGACCTAAGATCATCATGTATTACTTTAACTTTCTATCAAGTTCATGCACAAAAACAATTAACAAACCTTTTTTTAAACTATGCTAATTTCTGTTAGGTTCAATATTAAAAAGTCAATGAGTTTTTCTTTTTTTTTATATCCTCTTTTTTCCCTCCTCTTTGAACAACAAATTGACTTGAGTTCTCAATCATCTGAATTATAAATTCTTGGTTTGGTAAATCTAAATCCATATGATGAATATATACTGGATATTAAAAAATGCTCTTCTAATGATTTGTCTTATGCCCCATAAAGCTTTTATTTCAGTGGATGCTGTTTTACCCCAACTTCACAAAATGTTTTGACTATGTTAGTTGTTTTTTTAACTCCTGATATTAATACATATCTTTGCATTGAAGACTTAAGCATATGACTAAGTAGTGTTGTGCTGTGCTATGTTAATCCTTAGTAGACATAATTACAGTTTTAAAGGCCTGAATCAGTACTACCAAATTGATTTTTGGCTGAGGTCACATAAGGCAAAAAATGATAATTGCTTGCTCTTTTATGGAACTGCAGACTTTTCCCTCATTCTTCAGTATTATTTGGCAACAGCAGGTGCTAGGATTAAAGAATTGATCTAAAACTTACAGTGATGTTGTTTTTTGACATTTTGGATATTTGTCTTTCTGGTGTTACCTGTAGACAAGCACTTCAGGTCACAGCTTGTAGCTCTGCCTGTCTGCCTTCTCTCCTGATCCCCAAAACAGCCTCCTTAGTTGAAATCCAGACCCCGTGTCTGTCTGTCCTTGTGACATTTTGCAGATAGCATCAATCTATTTCTGTCAGCTTTTTAATACCACCATGATGGAGAAGTTCTTGTTTCTGCTGTTTCCAGTATGTCAGGGGAGCTGTAATTATTGTTTGTGAGTAGTAAGTGAAGTTTGAAGGTATTCATATAAAGACTTTGAGGTAGTAAAGACAAAGCTTATAAAAAACTGGGGCTGGGCAGATTTTGGTTCCTGGGTTCTAATGTAGGCAATCTAGTAGGTAAGCCTGACCTTCAAAAGTGTTAAATGTCCTCTTACAACTGTGGATGCTTTAAATTGCTTGATCAACATTTGGAGAAAGTCCTTCCCATTATTTCAGTTTATGGCTGGTGATTTGTTGCATCAGTGTCTGGGAGAGCAAAGGGAGCAGTGTTTTGGCTGGGCTGCGAGGAGAATGAGATTGTCAGGTGCTGTATATTTAATTTGGTTCATTGGGTTTCCAGTCTTCTAATGTGTGATGCTTTAGAGCTGAGCTGAAAGGGTCAGGTAGCCTCTATTCCCACAGTGGAGCAGTACAAAATTTTGCTAATAAAAATATCAAGCATCTGGAAGGCTGCCTTGATCTGCAATCAGATGTAGCTGAAACTATTTCTTGCAGCCTCTTTTGATGTTGAGCTTCAAGACTTATGCCTGGTTCTGTATCTGTGTGTGAGTTTGGTTGTCTCTACTTGTTCTGTTGGCATTTTAAGTGGTGCTTTTACTGGCACACGACTGGGCAGTGAAAGGCTGAATATAGGTAGAAACTCAGCTGATGATTTTTTTAAAAGATCTAGAGATCCTGCTGTTCTAGTGTGGGGAGTTTATATTGTTTGGAAACAACAGGAGCACCAGATGAGCTGTGTGTAAGATGAGCACAGACATAGTTATCCAGTTAGCAATTCCCTCCTGTTTATGAGCCCGTTAAAATGCCAGTCCTGCAGCCTCTCATGGGCTCAGGCTTTGGCTCACTGTGTGAGAGGCTTTGTCAGGACACTGAAACTGCTCTAATGACTCTCTTGATGAACTCGTGTGGAAGAGCTGAAAGAAAGTAGGAGTGTATTTGGATAGGCCTGATGTTTGCTAACAGTTAAGTGTCGAGTTTATGATAAACCCCCACATTTTAATTAATCTTTGTGAATAACTAATGTAGGAATGAAAAGAGGAAAGTGATATCTTAAGAAACAAGTGAATAGTGTATTTTGGATTAGATGTTTAGGATTAGTTAATTTTTTTCCTTGAAAATTTTTTCAAACCAGGTAGAGATACACTGCATCTGTGCTAGTGTTTGATCCTGCAGGATGCCTCTGCACATTCTGAAGCATCCCTTAGCTGTGACAGGCTCTGGGCATAGGAGATGAACCATAAGAGAGGGTTGAGGATTTCTTTCTTCCCACTGCTTTCAGAAGGGGTCTAAAACACTGATTAATTTTGAAAACTGTCCAGCTTGCTTATGCCCTGTACACAGGTCAATCACAAGAAAACAATAAAAGGAAGGGATGAAGAAACTCATTTCACAGGCCAAGAAGCTTATTTCACAGGCCAAGAAACACTCTCAATTAACAGAGGTGCTTCAGAGTATATTCAAGTCTGCAGAAAACAGAGTGCATTAACTGTGACCCAGGATTGTCTGCTGAGCAGATGAATTACATGGCAGCTAGTGATGACATACATCAGGGACGTGCCCTGTCTCTAGAGGATTTAATCAAATGCAAATCCCATTGCATTGTATTTTATGGAGCTTGTTGTCTCAATGATGAAGTGCATGTAGTTCATTATGAGACTTACACCCACCTCCATATCATTTCTACTGCTGTGGCAGTGAGAGACCATACATGCCTTGCTGGAAGCAGGGCTCTCCTGTGTTTGGCAGCAGACATCTCTAGGAGCTGTTGTGTTCCTTCAGCTGAGCCCTGCTCTGGGTTCAGGAGACCTTCTGTAGAGCTTGTAGCACTGACTGCAGTTACCCAGAGAGACCAGTTTTAATATTCTAAATAAAGTGCCCCAAAATCTTCCAGTTTCTCCCGGTATTTTGTTTTTAATAGTGATTTTTTGTTTTGTATTGGGATTTGCCCACAGATATTTTTCCATTTCATTGAGGCAAAAGCTATATGTGTTATATTTATTATTACAACAACAAAAACATCCTATGTATGTTTAGATTAGAAATAGTCTTTGTCTCAATTTCTCCAGTAGTCCCACACACAAACAAGGGTCTTGCAAGCTTGTTCAAACTGTGTAGACCAAGTGATTTCCCTAAAAGACTGGCAGCAGACATAGCAGCCTCTCAGTTTTGGTAGCTATGATTTAGGTGAAAGAGCACTACTGAACTATAGACCTAGCTTACCCTTTTAAAGCATTTTTTATATTTTTTTCCATGAATGCTAATGGAAAATATATCTTGGGAAGGGAAAGAATAACCCTAAAATCCATATGTATGTCTACTATATTTCAGTTTAATGCATAGTGAATTTTTTTCCTCTCCTTGCAGGAGTCTCCAAGATGAATACTACAGCAATGAGCCCACTCACTGTTACTCCACTAGGTTTTGTTCCAGACTTAAAAAATTCCACCCTTGATCCTCTCAATGAGACTGCATGTGAAAACTGGAAAGAGATTCATCATCTTGTTTTCCACGTGGCAAACATTTGCTTTGCAGTTGGGCTGGTTATTCCAACTACTTTGAATCTTCATATGATTCTTCTGCGAGGCCTGCTCACCATAGGTAGGAGGATCATTCTGGAAACAGGAGTGTGACACAAATGGCTGGGTTTGACCATTGTGGAGCTGGTCCCTGCAGCTTATAGTGAAATTACTGCCTCTATTAATGGCCATTATGCTCTGATGAAGGTGGTTTTGGTCTAAGACTGGATCTGTTTTGACCTTGATACACCTTTTTTTAGAAAGATTATATTACTCTTGGCTCTTAAAACTTTCTAGAACTGCAATTTGCAAAACCTATGAAGATGTCAGCTTGAAAACAAGTGGACATCATTTATGTCAGATGTAACTGGATGTTTAAAATCCACTTATTTCAAATCAGTTATGTCTGGTCATTAAGACCTTGATTTTAGATTTCAAGTAAGTACTGGGACTGTGTATTGGCAGATGCATTGCTTAGTGTGTCTGAGGTATGAGAGCTTCTCCTTGAGGAGCTTGCTGTGACCCCAAGTGTTCTTTTAATGTAGGTTCAAGCCTGTGCCACTTGTGGGTCACCAGCATTATTTTCATTGCTGATTTAGAACTGCAGCCTTTTGATGGGGAGTGTATTCTGTGTTCTGATACCAGTTGTGTTTCTTCTGCCACTGTAGGAATCTTGTGACACCAGAATCTGACTTGAGAGGAAAACCTAAATTTGGCATGCTTGAGACTGAGTGAATGTGGTTCAATTTGTAACATTGCAGTCTCACAGCTATTTCAAAGCCTCTGTACCTTGTGTGGGACAAGATCCTTGTGATCAAAGCAGGAATAGTGACTCATTGCAGTGTAAGAAGGATAAATCCAATCCAACAAGAGCATGCTCAAGTATTTTTAAGTGAGTGCTTATTGGCATTATAGTGTGGGTAAATTTTATGATAGAACTATTTGAATTTACAACACTCTTGCATTTTCTATTTTATAGTTATGATAGGGTAACTTTTTAAAACACACTGCACTGGTGACCAAGGATCTGAGCATTGCAAGGCTTTTTGTCTTGCCTTTAAAAGCAAAAGGAGCTCTGCACTTGCTGGGCCTGCCATTTTGATCTGTAGGTCTTGTATGAGCAGATAGGGAATCAGAGTTTTGCAAGCTGGGGTGGCAGCAGGGAGCAGATTTACTCAGTGGGCAGAACGAGTAATGAGGCCTGGTTCCTAGGGACCTGTTCCCTTTTCTTTCACCCTGTCCCACCTCTGTGCTGCTCTGCAATATTGCTGCTCTTCAATACATCCAGATTTTGAATCCTCCTGTGCCTTGCAGTCTAACTATGAAGCAGATCAAGAGTTACTATATTTTGATTTTTCTAATCCATATGCAAGCACTGCCTCATCAGTTAACAACCCAGACAGACTAGAGAGTACTGAGTTCATTAAGTCAAGGTCATTTTCAGGGAGAAAGGGGGTAAGAACATTCATTTAGCACTGTCTCCTTTTTGTCTTTGCAGGAAGCTTAAGGGAAAATATAACTCTGACCTCTCCAACCATCTCTGTTGGATGGTAGGCTCACAGTTATCTGGGAGAGACTCACTAATACATAATCCATCATTTGATAAATATTGTCTTAGTAGGCTGAAAATGAAATCCCTATTCATACATGATGCCTTGTCTTTTAAAGCAAGTGTCATTATTCAAAGTAAGGCAACTCAAAAAAGACTCAGCATTTGGAAATTTTGTCTTTGATGTTACACAGGAGAATTCAGGTTCCTTATATGACCTTGTCACATCAGCAATAATAGTTTCTTTTAATTTTCAAAAATATCTGCATATGACTTTAGGAAGTTTTTATGCAACTCACCCTTGCTAGTTAGACATGAACTTCTAGGCCTTTTTTTGTCTAATTATTCAATACAAATTTTTGTGAGCTGCCTAATTTTCCCCCATCTCTTTTCTACTTCATTTCAGTAAAAAAGCATTGTGGAGTGCACCTTTCTGCTTGCCCCATCTTCATCTGAATTACTGTGATTTCAATGAGTATTGCAGTCCCATGTGATAGGGCTGCAGTCTGTCCACCTGCCCTCAGTGCCTGTTTGCAGCACTGCAGTGATTAGCTACTGCTGCATGCCTTCATCCAGAGAGCTTAACTGTATTAAAGTTTGTAGAATATATTGCTTTTCAGTGTAATTATACTCAGTGGATGTATTCTTGGTGGTTTTCTAGGTATGTTTATTATTTGGTGAAATCTAACTTCTTCTTTTTTTGTTAATTTTTACAGGATGTGCATTATTCATCATTTGGGCTACACTCTATCGTTGTGCCTTGGACATAATGATCTGGAATTCTGTGTTTTTGGTTGTCAACCTTTTGCATTTCATATACCTTGTGTATAAAAGGAGACCGGTATGTATAACAGATAAATTTCACAAGCACTCTAGTAAGATGCAACAAAGGGAAGTTTTTCCCCATTTTTGATGGACAAACCAATGGATTAGTACACATTTTCAGCAGAATACTTTTGTGTTTGGCCCAAAATCACACTCTGGACACGCTCTGAAAGTGTGCAACAACTTGTACCAAAAAAAAAAAAAAAAAAGAGAAAACAGAACCTACCTGGAAATAAGTTCTTCACCAATTCAACATTGCCTGTGCAAGAAAGCATCTAGGAAATTAGCTGGCAAAGCAGCATGAAGCTTGACTTCTGTCTTGCCTAGGAAGCAGCTTAAAACAAGCTAGTCTGATCTGCTACTAGACAATTGTAGATGTGTAGTAAATATTTCTAGTTCAAATTGCTCTTGAAGGGTACTTAAAGGGTAACTTCCTCTTTGGTTACTAAATTTAATTACTAATGCTATTTTTTCAGCCTATTCAATTGATTTTTGTCACCATTGAGATGCAGTACATGATGGAACTGCATTGTATTTCTGCTAGGTGGCCATGGCCATGCTGTCCAGCACACACACAAAATACCAGTTGTGATAAGGGAGATAGATAAGGGAGAGCCAGTGAGGCCAGACTCTACCTACTCTGTAGCTGTCCACTTTAAATATCCCATGCAGGTACTCTAGTTTCTAATATGGGATTAATTTATTTGCAGTCTTTTTCCTCAGCCAAATTAGCATGTTCTACTTCCCTTCAAACCCCCACCAATTAAGCCTTTTTAATAGATCTTGAGGCTTCTAATCTTCTGTCAAATGGGACAGGAAATGGCCACCAAAGTCAGAAATTATTGCAAAATGGAGTGCTTAGCTGATAGAAACCCATTTCCCTGGAAACCAAGCCTTTAATCTTACCTGTATTTTAAAAGTGAATTGTGGCATCCTTAAACATAGGTAATGGTCCTTGAGTTTGTACCTGTCCAACCCTTTCCAAAAATCTAAATAAAAGGTTATTGGTGAGTGAAAAAGCATCCTGGGAGGATGATGTGCTGGTTTGAGCTTGAGTGAAAAAAGCAACCAAACAAAAAAATCACCCTGCAATGTGTAAATCAATACTGAATGAAGAAGGAAATACATTATTTTGTAATTACAGTTGTCTACTAAAAGCTGTGTTGGCATAGAGTGGGGTACTTTGTGCATTATGGTATAGGTTTCATCCTATTGAAGAGGCAGCTCTTTTCACTAAATCCTCTTATAAATTTGATAGCAGAATTATTTGTAGGAGTTAGGTCAAGTCATAGAAATGATTGAAGTACTCTGTGGGTGGATACAAAAAGAAGGAATTTTGTGAGAATATGAAACTCGACTGATAAACTCAGTCACCAAAGTTGGTAAAAAATTGCATCTAAGAGGGGGAGGGCTGGAGCACCTGCCTTTAACTTTGTTTTCTCTCTGTAGCCCTTGCCCAGTGTCAGAGTAACCACAGCAGGACTGAGGTGTTTGGCACTCCCATAAACTGCACTGCTCACACTCTGGCAGGCAACCACAGCGTATAAAAGGGGGCTAAAGGTTAAATTGCATCTGTCCACAACAAGTTGATAAATTGAGTACATGTGTTAAAAAAGGAAGAGGCTCTACCTACAGCAGTGTTTCTCCAATATGGAACACAGGTTCACCCAAAGATTACCATCAGCTGTGCTATGTGACCTGAGCAACTTGAAAGCTTAGCCAAAAATTAGATCTGATAGACTAGCCAGGTAGTGCTGTTTCTTTGCATATTAAGGCTTAATTTCAATAGTCTTCTTTCCATTGAGAAATTACAGTATTTATGAACATTGCATGAAAAATATTATGTTATTTTAATCACTGTAATGCATATTTTCAGTAATTATTAAAAATATATATATGAATCTTTGCTGCAAACTATGATCAACAAGCATACTTGAAGTGATGCCTGATAGTCACACAGGTCTTTTTAGCTGTCTAAGATGCTTATTATAAACCCCAAAGCTGTTTTGTTTTTCCTACAAGAGGACAAAGAATAGGAGGACAAAAATAGAGGACAAAAACTTAAAACTATTAGGAACTAATTTTTGAATGAGATTTTTCTCTCTGCAGCTATTGTATTGCCCATCTGAATCAGTTTTGGTAAGTCTCACAAAAGATCTTTCCAAGGAAAGAAAGGAATGACAGAATAATTACAAGTTAGTCATATTACAAAATGAATAATTGATATGTTTGGTTGTTAAATATTTATTTTATTAAATGGAGCTTGCAAAATCACAGTGAGTTTCTTTTCTGAAATAATCTTCAGTGGTTTTGATTCCTTGGAGCTTTACAAATTTGGCTTTTTTAGTCGGAGTGGAAGCTGATTCTAATCAGTCTGTCTTGGAGTTCTGGCAGCATCCCAGAATATTTCAACCCCTGCTGAAGAAAACATTACACCTACCCATATGGCTTGTTTGGAATATGACCCACGAGCATGACTGGAGGAGCAGTCAGCTGTGCCTGGGAAGGGGGAATGGTCTGTTACAAGGGAGCCCATCTAAAGCACAGCTCCAGCCTGCAATCTGATCAGTCTTTAAGAAAGTGGCTACACCTGCTTTCTCCTCAAAGCATTACACACTAGAGGAAGATCATGAAACATGAACCATGTGCTAGTTAAGGGATTGGATTAACACTCCAGGGCCAAAATTTGCCCCCATGTCTGTGTGCCTGGTTTTGGGTTCAGGAGTCTTGGGAGCTACGTAAATTCCTTTTTCAGATGGAAATGTATTTCTTTAAGTTGCAGTGGTCATTTATAGAAAGGTGCAAATTAAATTGGTACAGCTGTTAAAAATGAGGGAGTTCCTGGAGAACATGATGGTAAAACAGTCATCTAGCTTTGTGGGTATGTGGAACATATTTTGAAATCAAACAGCTCAGGACTTAACATAATACAGTTTCTCTTGCATGTTTGTTTTTAATCCTTGTTTTGTCTGTGTAGATGTCCTCTGAGGGATTAAAGATTGTGGCATAAGGAACATACAGGAAGTTCAAAACCTGGATTTCATATGAGTGTAGTTGCTTGTGGAATATTTAACTAGTAATTGATTCAGTGTGAAAGCAGTGTAACTTTAGGTCAGGTGATGCACCCCTGATGTCACACAGCCACAAGAGCTCTTGTCACTGCAAGGCCATTCCTGATAGTCTTGGAATAGTGGTGGTGACTGAGAGAAGTGAGTGAGGAACAGAGGAAGCAAATGCCACTCCTTTCCTCAAAAATGGCAAGAAGGAGAACCCAGGGAGCTGCAGCATGGTCAGCCTCAACTTGATCTCTGAAAAGAAGGGATAGATAGTCCTGGAAAACATTTCTATGCACATAGAGCACAAGAAAGTAATCAGGAGTGGTCAGCAAGGATTTACCAAAGGGAAGCCATGCTTAACCAGCCCGATAATAGATGGATAAGAAACTGATTGAATGGTCACCTCCAGAGGGTAATGGTCAAAAGTTCAGAGTTCTGATGGACATCAGTGACAAGTGATGTCCCCCTTGGGTCTGTATTGGGACCAGTGCTATTTAGTGTCTTCATTAATGACATAGCCAAAGGGATTGAGTGCACCCTCAACAAGTGTACAGATGACACCAAGTGGAGTTGTTTGACACACCTAAAGGCTGGGATACCATCCGGAGGGACTTGGACAAGCTTGAGAAGTGGGCCAATGGAAATGTCATGAAATGTAACATGACCAAGTGCAGAGTACTGCACTGGGCTGGGGCTACCCCCAGTATCAACACAGGCTGAGGGATGGACAGATGGAGAGCAGCTCTAGAGAGAAGAACTGGATGAGAGGCTGGACTTGACCTGGCAATGTGCACTCACAGCCACAGAAACCCAATTGGTTAAGCTGCATCAAAAGCAGCATGGCCAGCAGGGTGAGGGAAGTGACTGCTCTGATGAGATCCCCCCTGGACGGCTCTGAGGGCCCGAGCACAGAGATGGAAGAGGTGCTCTGTGAGGAAAGGCTGGGAGAATTGGGCTTGTTCAGCCTGGAAAAGAGAAGGCTTTGGGGTGGCCAGATTGTGGCCTTCCCTACTGGAAGGGAAACCACAGGAAGGATGGAGAGGGACATTTTACAAGGGCATGTAGTGACAGGATAAGGGGGAATGGTGTCAAACTGAGAGTAGGTTTAGATTAGATATTAGGAAGAAATTCTTCACTGTGTGGGGGGTGAGGCACTGGGGCAGCTTGCCTAGAGAAGCTGTACATGCACAATCCCTAGAAGTGTTCAGGTTGAAGCTCTGATGCTACCTGGTCTCGTGGAAGGTGCCCCTGCCCATGGCAGAGGAGTTGGGACTGGGTGATCTTTAAGGTCCCTTCCAACCCAAGCCATATTTATGATAACCTTCCACGATGAAATGACTGGCCAGATATGAGAATGGTGAATATCCTCAACCTTAATTTTGGTAGGCTTTTCAACCCTGTCTTGTATAAACTCCTGACAGAGAATCTGTTGAAGTGTGGCCTGGAAGAGGACACAGACTGGAATGTGGCTGAATGGCAGGGCTGAGTGTGGTAATCAGAGGTAGGAAGTCCAGTTGAAGCTGGGTACTGCACATATGTTAGTGTGTGGTGTGTAACCTTGAGCCAGTGCTAGTCCCAGTGCTGTTTGACATCTTCATTCATGGTCTGGGTGGTGGGGCATATGTGAACCCTGATGACACAAAACTGTGAGGAGTGGCTGATAGGCCAGAAGGTTGGGAAACCATCTTGAGGGGCCTCAGCAGGCTGGAGAAATGGACCAACAGGAATCTCATGGAGTTCCATAGAAAATGTGGATACTGCACCAGGGAGGAATAAATATGCATCAGCACATGCCATGGAGTGACCAGCTGGAAAGCAGCTTTGTAGAAAAGGACCTGCAGGTCCTGGGGGAAGAGTTGAACATGAGTCAGAAACTTGCTCTTTATCTTTTTTTCTGCCACTCTTTCTCGGTTGTTTTTCCTTATTCTCTCTTCTATGTATATTTTTTTTTTTTTGTCATTATCTGATGCTTATTGTTCTAATTTGTCTTCCTCATGGCAAATATGCAGGCTTTATTCAGGCTGCCTCTGCTTTCAGGAAGGCTGTAATATTGTCTCATCCCCTGCTTCCTTCATTCAGGGAAGACTTCCAGGCTTAGGATTTCAGCCAACATCCTTTCCCTCATTGCTGCTGCCTGAGTTTGGGTGGGCTCTTAGATGTGGGATGTTCAGCTGGCAATGTTTTTTGGTCTTTTTTTTCCCCTCCCTCACATGTGGTTTCAATATAATTGGTTTGTTTTTCAGGACTTGCTTTTCTACTGCAAGTAAGCCAAGAAGCTTAGGGATGAGAGGGGCTCCCAGGAGAGCCTGAGGGATAGCCACAGTGATGTGTGCATGCAGTGTGAAAGACAAACTAATTTTTTTCTCTGCATAATTCTTGCCCAAGTCCTTCCTATTCACTATTGTATCAACAGACATGTCAGAGGGCTCCTTGTGTGTGATTTAATGTGGCACTTGGATGGGACAGCATTCTAAAGCACCAGTATGCCAAACTGGCTCATTTTAGATAAGGTTTTGGTCACCCTATCACAGGCAGTGTTTGTGGATAGACATCACACATTTACCACTTCTTTCCTTGCTTAAGCATAATGAAGCCAAAGATGTCCCTCAAGCTAAAGCGTGTGTGCAGTCTTACTCAATTTTAACTAATGCATCTGTGTTTATTGATCTCTCTTGTTTTTCCAATCTAGATCAAGATAGAGAAGGAACTTAGCAGCCTCTACAAGAGAATGTTTGAACCTCTCCATGTGCCTCCAGAGCTCTTCCAAAGACTAACTGGACAATTCTGCAACATTCAGACTTTGAAGACAGGTCAAGCCTATGCAGCAGAAGATAAAACATCAGTTGATGATAGGCTGAGCATCCTGCTGAAGGGGAAGTAGGTTCTATAAAAGCCTGGGGACAGTTGTATGCTTTGTGTCATGGCTGAATAAATTAGAAAATTATTGAGGTTGCAATTGTTTGTAGTATGTTATGGTCTATAGTCAAATAGTCTATACTTGCAGTCTATTTTGTGACACCATTTTCAGGTGGCAGTGATATCTCTTACTGGGAGCATATTGTGTATCCACTTACATGTGCAGCTGCATGGATTTTAGTGAGAATTATATTTGTGTAATACCAAAGGCAGTGTCTTGCAAAATAAGCAAGAGATTTGTTTAAGTCTTAGATACCCTAGTCATCCATTCTCAGGTTTTAAGGTTAAAAAACATAATGCATGAGGGAAGAAGTAGTATGTCTCCAGTAGGATTTAAAACAGCAGACCTTTGGAAATTGATTCATTGCCCTTGTACATGCAAGTAGAGAGGGGCAGGTGCACTGCCCAGAGGCAGACAGAATCCAGGTGAGAAAGGGTAAAACATGCCCATGGCCAGGCTGTAATCTTGAAACTCATGCTAAATTCTGGCCAATATTTTAACCAGTTTCTGTGTACAGAAGCAGTGATGTCAGGCTTCATTGCTTTTCTTACTCATTACCACAAAGCTGCTTACCTAAGGGAAGCCTGATTCTGGTCTGGCTGTGTAACATGACCTTTCTCATGTTGAATAACAATGTTTTGTGGATACATGCATGTTCATCAATTCTCTATTTGTCTGGCAGCCTGTTCTGCTTGGAATCAGGCAGAAAACAGGGTAGCTCTGGGAGTGATATTCCAGAAGATGAATGTATTTATTCCTGTTACCTACTGCATTACCACAGTCAGTAGTCCTACCCAATTTTTGATTAAATTAATCAGCCTCCATGAGTTTAAAATGTTGTTTCATGCATTTTTATTTCCAGAATGAAGGTGTCTTATCGAGGGCATTTTCTGCATAATATTTACCCCTGTGCCTTTATAGATTCTCCTGAATTTCGATCAACGCAGATGAACCGGGGTGAGAAATTCCAGGTACATTTTGTTTTAAATGTCACTGGACATGAGCTGGTGAGACCATTAAAAAAATACAGTATAAATTTGATCAACAGTGAACTATTTGACTTGCATAATTTTGCTGTCCTTCTAGTATAGGTGTTTGAAGATGCACCATGTCAAGAATAACTTTTAAATGCTGCAAAACAGCATTATAATGGTGTGTATTGAGCAGTCTAGCTTTTGCTATTTTATTCTCTTTTACTGTTTCTAAGTCTGTTTTATGTTAGGAGATTGTTCAGGACAAATAATTTAAGAGGCAGTTTTGATGGAAAAAGATGATATGAACAGGTCTCATCAGAGGTTCAAAAAAAGAAAAGGGAAAAAGAACTACTGTAATAATTAAAGTCTAGAAGTTCTGGCACTAGTAATTAGAAATTGGTATTTATAAAAGTGTATTAATACTTCTGTCATTTTGCAATTTGTTAAAGCAACATAAGCTGAAAATTATCTCAGTATTTTGAATAAAAATATTCATATGGGGAACAATAAGGGTATATTTCTCTAGCAGTGTTAATTATGCTGGTATATTAAATATATTTTATTATAGTTTAGGGAGGTGGAATACTTTTAGAGAATGGTGTTTTTTCCCATATAAATGGCTATTTTGCTACCTCTTTCTTGATGTTCTTTAGCTAGGTGTGTGTAATAATGACCAGCCTGTGACTGACTGGTGCATCCACACTGCTACCGTGGCAGAAGGGGAGGGAGGCAGAGCAGTGCAGACTCTAAAATCAGTGATTGGTGTCATATGTTCCAGTCGAACGCTGGGCTGAGTGCCAGGGGAGAGACTTGTCCAGATGCACCCACCCTGCAGCACTGGGGCCTCGCACAGCCCGGCTGCGCTCCCGGCACAGCCCCTTCCTCCTGGGAGCAGCCGGGTAGGAATCATCGGGCCCTCCCAGGAGAAAAGGGTCGTGCCTCAGCTCCTGCCTGCCTTAGGAGTTACTGTGATCTGGAGCAGTGTGTGTCCTTTATTCGTGGGTTCTGCTGGTACTGCCATGTGAGCACCAGCAGCCTTGCAGGAGCACACGGATTCAGTCTTAAGGACCCCATCTGCTGGCAGTGCTGCTGAATTCTTCCTCAGCCTGTGGGCTTATATTACAGTCTGTGGAGTTAAAAATCCATGGATATATGACAATATTTCATTGTTTCTAGGACCTAACGGATTTTTTTAAATTTTTAAAGGATGTAATGTTATCTTGTAAAAGCAGAGAGCACCTGATTTTGATTTCTTCATAGATGCCTGACTCCCCCTTGCAAAACCTGCCCCTGGGTATTACCCGTGTGGGTTTTGGTGTGGCATTGCCCTCTGCTGGCACAGGGGGATGAACCTGGCAAGTCCATCCTCCCGTGAGAGGGGGGCAAAATCCCCTGTAACTACCCAGAACTGGATTATCAATAACTGAGCAAACAGAGCCTTGGCTCAGCTGCTACAGGGTTGTACTTGTGGGATCAGCAGGGCTGACAGTTATAAAAGGAAGGTGGAAATATTTTTTTTAAATCGCTAAAAACTCTTTGATGGAGACTTTTAGGTGACACCAGTTGTTCCTGTTTGGTGACAGTGATGTAAAATAAAACCAAGCTACACATAGGCCTACTGCAAGTGCTTGTCATCACTATAGGACTGACTTTATAAATAAATTTCCTCTTACATGAGTGTTTTTAGGTTTGGGAACTCATGAGAGATTTTCTCCTGTTATTGTCCCCCAGGTTTTCTGTAAAACAAACTGGCTACACATATCAGTTAAAAATATAATGATAATAAATTGCTGAGAATTTTTACATTTGTAAATATCACATTCACAACAAAGAGATACCAAAAATCTTTATGGCTTTAAGAGTTATTTTAACTGGAGTCACAAATAAAATGTAATCACTTCTTTTGAAGCATGTTTAGGTGTGCTCATCTTGAATTTTTAAATGTACAAATTCTGAGCATGTATTTTTTTCCAGGTCACCATTATTGCAGATGATAACTGCAAGTTCCTGTGCTGGTCCAGGGAAAGGCTGACTTTCTTTCTGGAGTCTGAGCCATTTCTTTATGAGATCTTTAAGTACCTTATTGGCAAAGATATTACGAATAAACTTTATTCATTGAATGACCCAACCTTAAATGACAAGGTAAGCAACTTCAAGTTTTGTTTGGAAATTTTCCTCCCACATACAAATGTGTTTTTATTTCAATTTTGAATACTCTCAAAGCACCTTATTTTAACTTGCTGCTGTCAGCTACTTAATGCACACTCGTGGCCTTTTAGTGCCAAGGTGTGAGTCAGTGCAACATTTGTGTCAGAAGCAATATTTAGCAAAGTTAGCACAGTAATGTACAAGAAAGATGAGTAACTGAGATTCAGAACTGATCAGCTTGTGGGAATATTTCTGCCTAACAATTGGATGTGATGCTAGTAGCTTAAAAGGTGCTTCTCCCTGGATATCCCTTCTCACTAACAAATTAGTGTCTTTGTAAAAAGAAGCTTCAGAGTTTTTCCCTTTAAAAAAATTTCTTACTGGGGGCAAACAATTATGTAATACTGATTGCTAGGAAGAATAATTTCAACATGTCTTTGAGGGTTGCCAGTGCAAAAAAAAAAAAAAGCAAACATTATGTTGATATGATGCAGTTAGTGGAAGGAATCATGAAATACATATAAAATATAAATAAATATAATTAAAATATAATTTTTATCTTTATAAATATATAAAACATTAAGTGGTCTGGGTGTACTCATATTCATGAATATGAGTTTCCTTGCTTTAGTTTCATTTTGTCTCCTTACTTATTCCTTATCATAATTTCGAAGAATTAGAAAATCCAACAAATTTTTTTCCTCTTTTCACTTAACATCTGCACACTTCATCTTCAGTTTGTACTGAGTCTTTGTTTTTAGTTGCAAAATTCGCATAAATTTAAGATTATTATAGCTGGTTTATTATAGTAAGTTTTGAAAATGTATGTTGTAAAAATTGAATGAGCATTTGGGAAATTTGTATGATCTTATTATTCTTCCTAAAATAAAATTCCTGTTGCATGAGCTCTTCCTACATAACTCGGCAAGAGAATTGTTAAAGAAATTCTTAATTTTCCCATTGCCAGCACTCTATGTACATATTGCCTCTCACAAGCTTCACTTTCAAATATAAATATTATTGGTGTCTTTGATGTCTTTTAACTGTTGTCAATCTCATCAGAAAATGTTGGGGTTGACTTGTGTACGTAGGGAAATCAATTGAGTATTGATTATTCATATTCAATATGGTAGTAAGAAGGTAAAACTATCAAATAATTTTTTGTTGGAAAACAGAAAATTATATTTTATTTATTAAAGAGCATATTTATTTTAAAAATATATTTATTTTTAAAAGTGTATTCTATTTTATTAAATATATAAAGTATAATATATTTTATTAATATATATTAATAATAATTTTATTAATATATAAAGTATATTTTATATAATATATATTATATAATATATATATAATATATAATATATATATATAAAGTATAATTTATTTTGTAAGAAAACTTGTGATTTTCTACTTCCTAGAGAGACTTTCACTAATATTGGGAAAATAGTCATTCTGTTCTGCATGAAATAGGATTCTAGTTTCTGACTTGTCAAATTCCATAAAGTGGAGTTATCCATTATAGTTTTGTCATTGATTGCTACCTTTCACATACACCTAAAATAGCATTCTGGCTTGCAGTGATACCTTACAAGGTACAATGTATGGCTTCATATAAATGTTATAGCATAAGGGCTTCTCAGGAAGGCTTCTCAAAGCAAAATGGAAGTTCCTCAGACCATTTGACAGGGAGAAGATAATGCTCACCTGATGATGCACTTAGGCTGCAGTAGAATCAAGAGCCAAATGGTCATCAACTGGGAAGGAGGGACATTCACCACTTTTCTAACATAATGATATGAAAAGCCAGGAAAATAACCATGCTTCTGTTAAGGTATAAATTGCCTCTATATATAGCACACTGTTTTGTTTAGCAAGGAGGATCAGCTTCATCATAAAGACTACATTTAATTGCAGAGCATCATACTTAAATAATGAATTACCAGATAATAAAACCCAAGCTTTCTGTAAGAAAATACATGAAAATTTCAGTACAAAAGCAATTTGAGATTGAATAATTAATGTGCAGTTTCATACTTGTCAATGTTCCAGTTCCAGTATATTACTGGCATTTTCTATTGTCATTTAAATTGATTTACACTGCATAGAATCTTCTCCTATAACAATTTTCTTGTATAATCGTGGCTGAGACCGGAGCATCTATCACAAGGGAAGTAGTAATTTTCCATTTTTATTTTAACTTACTTGATATCTTTTTTTTAAAGTAACCATTTATTTTCTTTTTCAGGCTTCAAAGAAGATTGACCGGCAGCCCAGCCTTTGCTCGCAGCTCTCGGTGATGCAGATGAGGAACAGCATGGCCAGCACCAGTGACAGTGAGGATGGCCTGCAGATGTTCCTTCGTGGGACTTCCTCTGCATCCTCTCTTCGTGAGTGCTCAGGATAGTTTGTGCCAGTTTTGAATATGGCTCAGGTTGACCATTAGAGACACTGCAGAACTCCTGTTGTCCTCTGTGGGAGCAGACTGTAGCTTTTTGGGTGCTGCTGTAGCAGCTAAATTAAGGGACTTAACTACAGGGCAGTCAGATGCATGAGGTTTTGTGTTCTAAATGCAGATACCTCATGTACATACTGGGAAAAGACCACAACATGTGTAGTAATAATCTTTGGCATAATATGGAATGTTTATAGTAATGGGGCAAAACTGAAGGTACAGTGCCAGTCACAGTAGTATGTCCTTTGTTCTGTCACTGGTGCTTGTAGAAACTAAAAACCCAAACAAAACATTTTCCCTCAGCAACTTGTGCCCTACTTTTCCTCCTGAGATAGTTTGTATTGGCAGAGGCTGGAGGAATGTGGTATACACCAATATTTTGATGTCACCTGGAAAATCTCCAAGTATCCTGTCAGGCTCTCCTCTGCTGTGCTTTGTATGACAGGAGTAGTAGAGAACAGATGAAGTGAGAGAAGAAACTATGTCTGACCTTTTTACTTCTATTCTCTTAATTTATTCCTTTATGAAAACATTCTAAATTATTCTTTCTAGGCTTTTGCTGTCATTTGTTTTTAGATCATCTGAATTTAAACATTAACATTAGCCTGAATTCTGAAAGCAGTGTTTGAATAAAAAAGCCCCAGAAGATTCTCTATTTTTGCATTTGGCATAAGCTGTTAGTTTAACAGCATTTAAAAGGATCATATAGGATTATTTCTTTTGATTTTGTAAATATTATTTTTTAGTGATTTGAATTCAAATATATGAGAAAAAAAACCACTGTTATTGTTATTTGTTATATGTTATTTGTTATGGTTGAAGTCTCTGCTAAGAGGAGGAAATATTTTCAAATATTTGCATCTTTCTGTTTAATTATCTGTTTTCCATTGTGTTCCTCACAGTTCTCATCCAGTAATACCTTCAGACCTGGGGGCCTATCTGGTTTTACTCCTTAACATTGGTGTAGTCTGCATGCCCAGATAGATGGCAGAAAAAGCCCTGCTAATGCTTCACCCTACTAGAACATCAAGGGTGACATCTGGGATATAGTTTGATGAAAATTCCAGTGCTGTTTTCTTTTTCTCCCATGTTTGCTGCAAGGACATTCAGAGGTAGTTGAGGTAGTGAGAGACCTCTGGACATTATCAGGTCCAGCCTCATGTCCAAAGCAATATCAGCTAGAGCAGGGCCATGGCCAGTGAAGATTAGAATATTTCCAAGCTGGAAGATTTTCCAGCCTCCCTGGGCAACTTGTTCCAGGGACTTACCACCCCCACAATGAAAAAATTTTCCTTATTGCAACTCATGCTTGTTTTCCTTCTTTCTTTAGTGCATGCCTCTGAGAAGAGTCTGGCTCTCTCTTCCATGTTGCCTTCCATTAGGTAGCCAAAGACAAGAGTCAGAAGCCCTGGGAGCCTTCTGTTCCTAAGGCTGGACACACCCAGCTCCTGCAGCCTCTCCATCACTGCTCCAGCCTCTGGGGTTGCACTCTGCTGCTCTTGCTCCAGTATGTCCATGTCTTTCTTGTACAGGGAGGCACAAAACTGATGCAGCACTCCAGATCCTGGCTCACAATTGCCAGATGGAGAGGATTAATCTCTTCCATTGACCTGCTGGCTATGTTCTTGCTTATATGGTTCAATATATGCTGCTAATGTGGCCCAATATATGAATGGCATACTTCACTGCAGGGGCACTCTGCTGACTCGTGTTCCATTTTGTGTCCACCACAGTATGTTCTGCAAAGCTGCTTTCCAGCCAGCTGGGGCCTAGGCTGTGATGCTGTGTAGGTGTGTCATGTCCCAGGTTCTGGGATTTGTCTTTCATGAACTTGTTGTTTTTGTCAGTTCTTTTCTCTTTTTCCAATGGCCTGTCCAGACTCACTGCCCTACCCTTTGGCCTGTCAGCAGTTTCCCCCACTACCTGGCTTTTGTCTGTGAATTTGGCAGGAGTGAATTCCATCCCATCAACCAGGTCATTCATATCTTGATTATTACAGGCCTTGGCCCTTGAGAACACTGCTGGTAACCAACCACCTGACAGCTGGATTTTGTACTGCTGCTCACCACCCTGTGAACTTGGCAGTACAGCAGATTTTCCACCAAAGCTATAGTCCCATCTACCCAGTCTGTTTCCCATTTGTCTGGAAGGACCCAGTGGCAGACTGTGGAGGGCTGTGCTACCATCCATGTAACCAGCATCCCCTGGACTCCATTCATACACAGAGGCCATCATCTCACCACCAAAGGTGGAAGGTGGCCAAAGTGGTCAGATGAAATCAACATCCGTGATGGCTTCCCCAGTCACCTTCCCATCCCTTGTGTGCTTGGGCATGGCTTCCAGGAAGACAAGCTCCATAATCTTCCTGGGAAATGAATTTAGACTATTAGGCCTGGGTGTTCCATCTTGCCCTTCATTAAAATGGCTGTGATGTTGGCATTTCTATTTGTGTCCCCTGACTTCAATCACTTTTCCAGGATGATAGAGGGGGCCTTGCAGTTGTATCAGCCAATGCTTGGCACCCTTGGATGCAGCCCATGTGGTTCCACAATCTTGTGTTCACCCTGTGGACTTGAGGTGCTCCTAATTCAGTCCAGGTTTCCTGTTGGTCAAACATCACTCTCTGTCTCTCCCTCTGGATGCAGAGTCCCAACAAGCCTCAGGACAAACCTCTAAAGAAAAAACTCAAATCAAAAATGTTACTGAATGTCTCAGACTTTTTCATGTTCCTGTGTCCTGTGCATTACTGAACTCTCGCCTTGCAGTTACCCTGGTCTTTCTTTTCTTGCTGATTTATTTGTAGATGCCTTTCTTGTTGCCCTTCACTAGATCCTGGTCTAGCTGAGGTTTAGCTTCCCTCATTTCATCACCACATGCTTGGGCCATGGTTCTGTGTTTCCTCCAAGGAGCTCATCCCCACTTACACTTTGTGTGTGTCTGTTTGAGATCTGTCAGAACTTTCCTATTCATCTATGCCAGCCTTCTACCATGCTTGCTCAGCTTTTTGTGCACTGGAATGGTCTGTCCTTGCAGGCCTTGTCCCATGAGCTCCTGCCAAGTAAAACCCTGAGCAAGCCACAGTCCCCTGTCCTGTAAGGTTGTAATTCAACTATTTGTCTTGCCACTCAGTATCTTAAACTCCACCAGCTCCTGGACACTGCAGCCAAGATTGCCAGCAGCCTTCAGCTCCCTGATGAGTTCTTCCTTGTTCATCAGTGACAGGTCCAGCAGAGCACCTTCCCTAGCTGACTCATCAATCATGAAGGAATTGTCTGCTACCTTCCAGAGATCTCCTGGACTGCCTGCTCCCAGCCCTGTTGCCTTTCCACCAGATCCCAGGCTGGTTAAAACTCCCCAGGAGCACCAAGGCCTGTGATCCAGTTGTTGAAAGAAGGAAGGCTCCCTTCTCCTTGCTCTTCTTGATCAGGCAGCCTGTAGAGATTCCTGCTGTGAAGTCTCCTCTGTTGGTCTGTTCTCTGATCTTTGCCTTTAAACCCTCGAGTGGCTTTTCACCTGTTCCACACACAGCAAAGTTCTGTGAAATTGAAGCCACTCCTTTGCATAGAGAGCCTTTGGGTGAACTTGCACACTCAGAAACTGTAAAACTGTGTTTGTGTGATTGGTTAGAATTAAAGTGTCTCTTTCAGGCTTAACAGCAAAACTCTTACACCAGTATTTCAGCTTTGGGAGAAAGTACTTGAAATGCATGACAAGTTCAGCTGTAATTGTATAAATCTGCAAGATGCACTTGTGCTTAGCACATACTTGATAAATACACTTTTCTCTGTTGTACTTTTCCTTGGTTTATGTACCTTTTTTTTGGTATAGAGGGTGTGCTTTACCCAAGAGAAGAGGTTTATGTGTCTTTTATGTTCAGAAATTCCTCAGCCCAGCTGAGCCAGCCTCCCAAGTCCAACACTTTCCCTTACTTTTGGGGAGGCAGAGGAATTGCCCCTATCCCATTGCACACACGACTCAGAAAGTATTGTTATTTATTTCTTCTTTCTATTTTGATTGTGAAATTTCTGACTTCTGTGAAACGTTTGTTCATCTCCTCGAACTGTAATGCTTCAATCTCTGTTTTTGCCAAAATAGCTTGTTAGTTATTCCTGGGTACTGTCATTGCCAATGATGGGGTTGCTACCAAGGTGAGCTCTGCTTAAAGATTTGTATTCAGTGTGGATTGTGGCCACATATGCACTTTTTTCAGATCACAAAACTGAAAAAAAAAATCTGCCATTTGCCTTGTCACTGATGTGTTTTCAAAAATCTTCTGCTGGGTGCTCTCAGTGCAACAGCTGGGGTATTTTTTGTCTGTTTTTTAAAGATTTACTATAAGGCACATGCTGAGACTTGCAGTTCCAGTGCTGTTCCCTGGATCCTCCTTCTACAGGCATACATTTGTTAATTTAGAACAAGAAAACACAATCCAAAATCCTCAAAATATTTTGTGAGAAACATATGGAAATGTGATTTTTTTTTCTTTTTATAAAATTAGAATAAAAAATGAATGAAGGGAACTTACCTGTACAGGAACTCTATAGGAATACTGTTTTGTCATTGCTAGGTGATTGTTGTGTGGACAAAGCCTCCCACTACAAATACAACTTTGACTACTATAATCCAAATAAGTTTTCTTCCCCTAATTTCCATATTCTTGAAAAAATGAGCATTTATATTTTTGTATAATCCTATCTTTTTTAATTATGCATTTATCAGTGCTATGAATTATAAACTTTGACTCATTTTCTCATGAAATTAATATTAATCCTATTTCAAAGTGTTTAGTAATAAAAGGGTTAAAATTACTAATTAGTAGGTCCCAAGCTACAATTACTAACAAAAGTATGTTTTTAGTTTAATTAATTAAGAAACCCAACTAACTGTTTGCTTTTATATTAAGGAAATAACCAACAAGAATTCTATAATGCTTACGGAGTGAGTCGTTTGCAGCATGATGTTTTCTGTTGATAACATCACATTAACTCAGCAGGCATCCTCAACAAGGTATTAAAGTGGGGTTTGTTTATCATGTGACACTTGTGCTTGACATCCATGGTCCATCTGTATGTAATTCATTAGTAAGTGAAATACTGGTATCCTTTTTTCCAGAATTTGAGTTAACCAAAATAGTTTAACCTGATCACAAGCTTAGTTTCACCTGAATGTCAGTCCTTTAAATAATATTTTGATATTAGTTTCTATTCTGTAAAACTATTTCTTGACAGCCATTCACATATTTATTAGAGATACAGTCTCTTTTTCTGTGGTACTTGTTTTAGACATCTCAGATTTGCTGGTGTGTCCATCTGTATTTGTTAACTTCTAAGCTGAGCAGGAATGTAAAAGGTTTTGGTTTGGTAATGCTTTTAGTGGTATTATCAAATTATATGCTCCCTGCTTGTGGTTGAAGGCAGGATTGGATTTCACAGGAATTTTAATATGTATTTTGGTTTAGGCCCACAAGAAAGAGCAACAAAATGTAGTGAAAGGAAGGTCTGACTCAGTCACTTGAACATCTGTCCAGCACTGGATAATGGCATCAGTAGACAAAATTTTGTATTTGGAGCAAATAAGAGCATGTCTTTGAAACAAACAGGCTGAGCTAATTAGACCTTATATTGAATCCTGTAGTAGAAACTTATGGCCACTTACTCCTGTTTTCTGGAGAGAATTAACTGGCTTTAAACAGAAGAAAACCATTTAAAAAATAACAATAAACTACACTGAAACAAAGATCTACAAAAGAATGAAGCTGGAACTGTAACTCAGTATTTTCAGCACCCTTTTTCCTTTGGGTGTCTCCCAGAAAAGCCAATTTTGTATCCAAATGTACCAATAGACGTCGGGTGGGGCACATTAGCCAATTAATTGATGCAGGTATCCTTTGCTTAGGCCATAAAACACATCTGTCTGGGAAGAAATGTTTCATAATTTCAGTGTCTAAAAATGTGCTTGAGTAACCCTGTATTGTGGCAGTTTCAGTAATTTTTGAATCTCAAAAGAAAACATTAATACATTTTTAACATAAAAAGTTCTGAAACGCCAATTCCAAACAGTCTCTTTGTGAAAGTGACTTAAAAATGCATTAGTGTTGTAACTTGCTGCTGTTGCCTGTGTCTGTATAGTTCTCTGTGTGTAACACACACAGTGTAAATGTGATCCAGTTCAGTGTAAATGAGTCTTTGCTCATAAGTGGGCTCCCTTAACACAGCACTTTACTGTATATCTGATAAACATTTCTTAAAAATAAGAGTGTTACAGCTATCAGTATTTTTTTCAAGAATATTTAAATTTTTAGCTTGTATGCAAACAGTCTGTTAGCATGGCCTTTATCTCTTGTTGTTTTCTTCTCAAATGGGATTTCAGAGATTTCCATAATCTTTTTGGTCATCATATACTAGCTGTTTGCAACCTCATACTGTTGTGGCGGTCTAAATCTACAAGAGGGTACTGAGAAAAATACATGTCCATGTGTAGATTCTATTTCAGAATGAACAATGGAAAACAGAACTGTTCAGCTGATGATTCAAAGGAGTTCTCTGGTTTGACCCCTCATACTGAAAATTTAACTGCAATAGAGGTAGTTTGCACAAAAACTCCATTTAATGTCTTGACAGGGATAGCTGTGGTGTGAGCCCTGCTCTGGCAGACAAGTTGCTGCCTTTCTAAAAGGTAGTTTTGTTGCAGTGAGATTTATGTGGCCTTTGCCTGTAAATCTTGTTTTCTCTGTGGTTGTTTATGGGGGTATAAATCTTGTATAAGTTTTACATATCATGCTGTGTAAAACTTACGAGGATGTGTCAGAGGAGGTTTAGGTCAGCTTTTAGGATAAGGCTCTTCACCCAGGGGGTGGTTGGGTGGGCTCCCCAGGGAAGTGGTCACAGCACCAGGCTTGGCAGAGTTTGAGAGTGTTGTGTCTGAGTGTCTGGACAATGCTCTCAGGCACATGGTGTGACTCTTGGGATGTCCTGCACAGGACCATGAGCTGGACTTGATCCTGTTGAGTCCCTTCCAACTCAGCCCATTCTATGACTTAATGCTTTAAAGGCAGTTGTAGCTTTGATGATGTGTCCATCCAAGGTTTGCCCAGTGCTCTGAGGAGCCTTCCCTGCAGCCAGGCCAGGGTGCAGATGGTTGTACACACCCTTTGTACCCGGGGCAGCCACTCGTGTTGCTGTGGCTGAATGGAGAAGGGTCAGTGTGTGAGTGTAAGGGTGAGAAAATGATCTCTGGGGAACAAGCAGGGGCACCCCCTGCACTTGGGGTGAATGCTGTGTCTGTGGTTAGCAGCAGGCACTGCTGGTTCATAGCAGTGTGGCTGTTCCATGTCTAGAATTTCCTGGTGCCTCTGGCCAGATAACAAAGAAACCTTCACTTAGAAATCCTCCCATGAAGCAACTGGGGCAGGATCATCAGATTGTGTCCACTTTGTCACAGATAGGTCTGGGTAGCAGGTGTGTGTTGTTAAATTAACTGGTAATTCCTTTGTACCTGTGACAGGCCCGGGCCGCACATCTCCCTACCTGAGAACTTCAGCAAAGATGAAGCCCATAGAGGAAAGTGTTGAAGATGATGTCTTTGAAGCACCATCTGCTGAAAAGCTCGAGCTCCAGCGGCTGCCTTAAACAGTTGTGTCCTCAGGTGTGCCAGAGCTTGCACAAAGCTCCAGTGCAACAGGAGGGAGCTGAATTTGGGAGGAATCTGAAAAGCTAAGCCCACCTCTCCATGTTTGAATTTACTGCAGCATATGCCAGTGGTTTCTAGATGGAAATGTCGTGTTTTATTTTACTTCTAAATAAAATCAATAAAAACTTGTGTGGGTTTTCTGTTGCTTCTTTTTGGTTGCTTTATTTCTACTTTGACTTTTGACAATTTAGTATTGTGTTGCTGACTAGCTGGAAATTTCTAGACTTACCTGGTGGAGAATATCCCATTTCATTTACAATATGTTCCTTTGAAACCTGTGTCTTAGTGTTTTAGTGGGAGATTTTGAAAGTGTTTCCAAAGCTGTGTTGCTGTTACCAACCATCATTGTTGTGTCAGTCTCATGTGAAAAACACACTCAGTCTTCTGCCTCATTTTTTTAAGGTATTTGCCTTTAGTGTTTCTCAGTCTCAGTCTTGACTCCACAATTGTAGTAATGACTTCAATTTTAGTTTTTATTGGCCAAAGATTTAAACTTAATGCTGCCTTTTCAACTTTAACTTTTTCTACTTTAGGCAACTGTATTATCCTGAGCTTCACAATTTTCCTTAGCTTATCCATGGACTGACTGAGCTGTTCTGAATTAATCTTCCCCCAAAGAGGCACACAAATGACACTTGATATAGGAAATTCTGTTCAAACCCCAAAATGGGGTAGCTGCAAGTTTAGTAAAGCCCAGTCTCATAAAGGGAGGCATTGGGAAGCTTTTATAGGAGGCACTTGTAGCAGTCCTGCCTGTGATATGTGCAGACATGTAGATGGTAGTGGTACTACTTAGCTTTGACAAATCTTGAAAATCATGGAGCAAATAGTAGATTTTAACTAAATATAACAAAAAGCAGCTACTACTCCTTTTATTGAATTGCACAAAATTGATACATAGAATAATAGATGTTTGGTGTCAACTCTCTAGCAATTAGAAGTGTCATAGTCTGGGGTTTTTTTGTTTATATAATTCCCTACTGTTTCTAGAATTTATCTTGACAGAGCTTCTTTGAATAAACCTGCATCCAAGTTATACAACCCACTTCTTCCCTCCTTAAAACCTCATGCAATACCAAGACACAGGTTAAGGGATTGGAAGTTTGACCTGTGTTGTCAGCATTCCTGCTTCTGGGAATTTAAATCTAGTGTGTAAGATTACATAATTGTGTCTCGTGCTTCTGACAATTTTGCATTATTAAAAATGGCACACAGAGCTGAGACATACACAAACAGATGCAGAATATCTTGAGACCACACAGGTGCAAAAGGCAGCACGGTGACTCCTGGTGGAGGTGGCAGAGCAGTCTAAGAGCATCCTTAGGTCAGTGTCTCAGGGACAGTGGCCACATCTCTGAGGCTGCCCCTTGGCTACTGGGGGAGTAAGAGAGGAAATGGGAACTATTTTACTTTTGAGGAGATACAAAGAGTAATGTTCTTGCCCTTATGCCATTTCCCCAAACTTCTGCTGGGGTTCAAACTCCTTTTGAAGAAGAGAACGAAGCTGGTGGATGGAACTCGTGCAGTTTAGCATTAACAAGAAGATGCAGAGTGCCTAAAGTAAAAACAGCAGCTCCTACATCTCCTTCTCCACCTGAGCAATCTCTTGTGTTTAGTTACCAAATCAATCAATATGCAGTGCCTGGAGAGACTGCATCTCCTGAATTATCATAGAATTTGTCTTAATAAGCAGGGAGGGCCTGCAGGAGCTGAGCCCTGGGCACCCACTGTGCACCCCTGGCTCAGGCTGTGAACCCTTGTCTGGTGCCTGGGAGCACAAACCAAGTTATCACCAAAGCTAAGGATGCTACAGCAGTGACACTGCAAATAATGATAAATAATTATGTCAGTTTACCAAAAGTAATACATTTTATTACCTGAAAACTCTTAACTGAAAACTTTTAAATTCCTGATAAATGGGTAAAATTAATAGGAAATAAGATTACTTGATAAATACAACTGGCAGAGGCTGTTTGCTTCTGTCCCTCTGTTTCAAATAGAGTTGTCAGACAGCAGAAGTTAAGACAGACTGTAAACTGATTTTCCATATTGAATGAGGTACCCCTTTTCATTGCTGTTGCAGAAGGTAAGGAAAAGCATCATGTAATCATTCAGAGTTTAAGGAGGGCTTGTGTAGAGGAGTAGAAGATGTGCTGTAAACACATGATTCATTAATTTCAATGTAAAACTAATTTAAATTAGTAAATCAAACATAAAACAACATGTTTTTAAATCAGAGCACCACATTCTGTTGGTCATAACTGTAACTAAGTACAGTGAACTATATGTATGTGAACTATAGCAGCAAACTGTTGTCTTCACTAAACGGAATGCCTGTGGGGTAAAAATGAAATGTACTTCACCTTTTTTTTTTTTTTTTTTTGAGAATTCTGTGATTTCAATGAATTTGTATATATGAAAATGCATCTTGAGCACCACATGTGTCAGGGAGACCAAACTAAAAGATATCAATTATCTCTATCAAGAGCTGTGTTAGAGTTAAGGCTCTGTCCCATTCTCATAGCACAGCACTGTCTCAATCTTCAGTTTTGTGGAATGAACTTCATGTGGAGCCGACTGAGCTGTAACTCTCATGCTCTCAGGTGGGAGCCTCTGTGCTCCTACCCCAGGAGGTAAATCTGCATTGGAGGAACTGGCCAAAGCTGGAAAAAATTAATTTGAGCATTTAGAGAGGATTCAGAAAATCAGCTGTAGCCCAGCACTTGGGAAGTCACGGGTGTAGTGGCAGAGCTGCTGAACCACTGCATCTTAATTAAGGAAACATGGCAGCCATGATCCACATGATGTTTCTACAGGCTGAAAAACACACAGCTCTCTGGTTCTAGTCCATAAGGGACATTACAGCAAATGGCAAGTTTAGAAAAGGTTAATTCAACCAAAACTCTTTGGCTCAACCAAAACTCTTTCAATAATATTGACGTATTTTAGATAACTCTTGTTTTGAATCAGTCATTTTACAAACAAGCCAAATGTATTTAAATTCAAAAAATATAATGTGTTGAACTAGTATGCAAATACTAAATGTCTTCTTTCTTTCCTATTTTATTTCCCTTTAAGAAATGAGGACAATAGAATTATAATCTCCTTATGGAAAATAGGCTACATTACTTGATACATGCATTAGTAAGCAAAACAAAGATCTATCAAAAGAAGGGATTTGGTTTTTAACAAATAGCAATACTGATACAATTAAAAGGCAAGGGCTTCACTCTTCAGCAAATTTTTGGCATCTAGGTAGAGCCTAATTGCAAAAGTACAGACTTGGAAAGTATCTTTGCAGATGGAAGGCAGCAATTTTTAGAGCAACATTGTGCATGACAAGCTATCACATACACATTCACAAATCGTTTGGATGGAGTTTTGGGAACTCAATTTGTAAAGACCTTTAATTTTAACCTTATTACTGGAATTACAACAACAGTTACTTTAATTATTTTCTCAGAAATGTTGCAGTAAGTGCTTCTGAGTAAAATGCTGGCTTTGCATCTCTGATGCCATGTTGGTCACAGCTGCTCCTGCTCAAAGGGGAATGGGTTTCCAGTACTTAGGGGATTAATAAGGGAAGACAAACCATCCTAGTTAATTAGCCCTGACATGTAAACTTCCTGAGAGCATGCTGATGATAATATGAAAGTCATTAGAGGGTGCAGAGATGCAATACAAAGCAAAAGTTGAGGGATCACTCAGTATTGATTGCAATATGGTCTCTGTACTGCTTTTTCAGTAAGGAGAGAGAGCAATATGGAGGGGCTCAACAACACTGCAAAAGTTGATGGGCTCTTTTTGGACCATTTAACAGAACAAAATGCTTTTCAGTTGATAAAGTTATTATGGTAGAACAAAGCATTTTCAATGAGCTTGAATATTAGCTGGATGTTAGTTCACAAGAATATTTACTTAGCATTTAATGCACTTAAATAAGTTCCAAACCTAAGTTACAGCGGTGCCATGTCATGCCTGTGTGTTTTCTAAATACCTCTAGAAGCCTTGAGAGCTTTTTTTTTTCCCAGAGAACTCTTTAAGACCCTTAAGTCAGAGATGAAGTGGATATTAGTACCCCTTTGCACAGGGATGGGTGCAAGCATTGCCAAAACCTCCAGTATTGCACCTACTGTAGCTGAACACTGTTCAGTCACTGCAAGTTACCGTGCTTGAATTACTCCCTAGCTTTCTCCTGGGGGATTAATATCTGTTACAGCCACATCCTGATTTCCTGTGCAAAGTGCTTTTGGGATAACAACTCCCTGTCATCCTTCATAGCAAAGAACAGATCAAAGGCAGTGCCTCTTGACATGCATCCACTTGTGTGCTATTCCGTCAACACTCCTGTGTTCGCTGTCACTCAGCGCTCCATCCTCTTCCAGAAAACTAAGGAACTTAATAATAGTATAGACATTGTCTGCCAAAATACTGTGAAGAAATATGAATCTTCTAAGCTTTTAAATGCCTGTTCTTCTGCAGTTTTTTTCAAAATAATTTCCCCGATCACACCACACTCTGCAGTTTTACTTGGTAAATTTTTTTATCTTTCAGTGTACTTGGGCTTCTCTCCAAATCTTTATGAAAAGCTTTCTCTATAAAAACTTTTTGTGGCCAAAAATTTCCAGGGTTTCATGACTCATGTCTGCAAGTGCTTTTTTAGGCTTTCAGGGACACTTTATGACGGCAACAACTTAGAAAACCAAACAGCCATCTATGTTTTTCTCTGCATTTCCTCACTGTTTGATTTTTAAAAAGCTGCCATAAGTCCACAAAGAGACAAGAGAGGAAGGAATCCTTTCTGAAAGGCTGCAAATTTCACCATCCAGTCAAGTTCCACAACCTGGTTCATGAGGCCACTTCTCCATGCAGGTGTGCTCAGGAAAGCTGGCAGTGGCACTGTTCTTTGGCTGGGTTGCTGAATTAAGGGCAGGTATGTTAGATACCTACCTCTCTTAGAAAGCACAGGTAACATACCTGCTCCTGGCTAAACTGGACTTGTGCTGACCTCTAAGGGCTTTGGGATGAGTGTGGGGCATGAGGAATGCACTCACTTTCAGGGGAGAGAGAAAGAAACCTTCCCAGAGGCAGCACTTCAGAAGCATCTTTTTAAATGTAAGTAAATGTTAAGATCACAGCGTTAC